ATATATATATATAAAACCTTCCTGTCATTGTTGCATAGCTCAATTCTGTTTACTCAGTGTAGGTTTTTCTGCGACATTCATCTCCATTCCCCTCCAACAATGAACTGTTATCCCCCATATATGCATATTTTTAAGTCTGGTATTCTTTGTTCGGGGTCTTAATGGATGGAAAGTGAAGTTCTTATGTTTCAAAATTCTTTTTAAGCTACTCTTATTTTGAATCATGAGACTGAATGAAGTACAATTGATGTTGTTTATAGTTTCTATAATCTCTGCAGTACCGTAAGTCAAAATCTGTAATAAGTTTTAGTAGTTGAAATATTCGTTAACTACTCATGTTGCCTAATTTAAGAAAACTCTTTTATCGTATTTCTATTCATATCACTGTTTGAAGCCAATGTGAAGGAGGTGGTAGATTGAAGTCATATCTATCTGTTTGAAAGGAGTATAATGATTGGGTAATATATACTGTTATGTTATCTTCAATATTTGTTCAATTGGATATTCACTGTTATGTAGGCATTACAAACTAAAGAAAACTACCTATCTGTATATGGTCTCTAGCACAGAACCAGGTGAGCCTCTGAAAAGTTTTCTCTCCACTTCAGTAGCTGTACTGGTTACCTTAACTGGTTTCCTTGAATCTATCCTCTTGGGGCTTTTTGTTTTGTTGATTTGTTGGGTTTTTTCCTGTTGTTAACTGGTTTGAAGGTCTTAGATTTCAGAAATTGCAAAAATAGATGCAAATCCCATGTGTAAATCTTGGGGTTAAGATGTATTTTATAAACTGGATAGTGATAGGCTAACATATGCATTTTTCAGACACTTCATCTATACTGTGTTTAAATTTTGAAGAAAAAATCTTTTGTAGTATGATGCTAAATTATTACGTACTTCAAAGAAAAGTCTTGCAGAGTGGAAAATGTGCACATTCTTATTTTGGAAGTTCATAGGTGAAAATGGTCATTTTTTTACATATTTGCACAGATGCAGCTTTAACCAATAGAGCAAAAATTTTCTGTCTATTGAAAGATTTTTCTCAGTTTTCAAAGATGCTGGAGTGGGGAGAAAAAAGAGAGACAGAAGGTTTATATGTGTGTTTGGTTTTATAATGTGGTTATTGCAATTACTAAAAGATTTAATTTCTCATATATTTCTTATTTGCTTTCTAAATCAAGTCTTTTTAGGAAATGTGTTTGTTTGTGACTATATGGAGAAAATGTGTGCTTAATTCAAGAGATCTCTGCTTTCTTTAAGTTTATCTTAATGAAATGGAGAATTTGTTACTTTGCTTAAATCTTGCCTACAAATTTTAAGTTTATTGGTGGAGAGCTTACGGTTTGGCTCCTAATACTTGGCAAGTTACTTTTATGTCAGCGGACTTCAAGTAGAATCTCCAGTGCGCTTTAGCTGAGAAGCATCTGGAAAAACACACTTTGTTTTTGATGGTGTGCAGCAGCCTTCAAACACTTAGAGGAAGACTAAAACACACTTTCCCTTTTGTTCTGGCATTCGGGAAACGTAGAGCATTAGTTCTAAAGTTTGTTTACCGTGATTACATAGCCATGGGCAGGCTCTGATTTTTTTTCTTTTCGGGAATATGTTTTTTATAGAATGTGATCTCTCCCCTTCAGCACTACTCAATAAGCATCATCCCAAATACGGATTCCAACCTTATGCTTCCCTTCTACCTGCATCCTCTGGTGGGTCTTAGTTATTCTTCAGTTCCTGTAATTGCTATGAATCAGGTGCAAGTGTTACTGCCTTTTATTGGAATAAATTATCACCATTTATTCACTGGTGTTAAGTTGCCCCTACAGCAGACAGCAGGTCTTTTCACTTTGCCTGCTGAGGTTTCAGCCATGAATGAACAGTATTGAGCAGAAGGATTTTTAGCAGTCTTGTAACAGACTTCCTGAAAAGCTGCCACCTTGGAGAAATTATTTTTTTTCTTTGGTAACAGCTTGGCTGTTGCATCTATGTTTGTATGATGTCTACAAGTTGATACACTCTGGGATTGTTCTAGTTATAGCTGCTTCATTTGGCATGACTGAAGGAAAAGGCTTCCTCTATTGTTCATATGGGAATATGTCTCTTAGAAATATCTCAAATAACTCCTAAATACATAATTCATTTTTGCAAAGCTGCATCCTGCAAAAAAAATAAAAAAGCATTTGTGATTTTTTGTGCATATGCTGTAACTTCAGATCACATTATATCAAGAAAACAGTGTGATTGTAGCAAGTTCTTGGTCTAATTAGAACAGGAAGGCATAGTGCTAGCTGATGCGTTACGTAGTAAGTATCCTTCTAGAGAACCTGCTCAAGAAGCTAGCACATGCTAGATTCTGCATGAAAGTATCTTCACTGCTTTGATAATCAAGGCATGGAAATACATATTGCAGTCACACTACACTTTCTGTGTAGGCACGTTTTTTGTCTTCCATTAATTAGTAGTAGAATTGTACTTGTAAGTTTTGATAGAAGATTAGAGGTTTCTTCTGCCTTGTGGTGTTTGGTTTTTTAGACATGAAATCTCTGTACTACTATGCTTCATCAAAGGTTTTCATAGGCTTTCTTTTCAACAGCTAAGGCTTAGATTGGGTGTGATGTATTCTTTCTGAGGTTTGGAACCAGTAGTGTGGTGGAACTGGTTATACCAGAGGAAAGGCAAGAGAGTTTTTTGAGGGAGATCTGGCTAAAAATTGTACAACTGCTACGCTTGACTAAGACAACACTAAGGTCTTTTATATTTTTTATGCTGAGGTCCTTTTATATGGTTTGGTACAAATGTAAGCTGGGGTTGGAGCTCTTTGGTAATTATAGTACTCTCCGTAATAAATCATTAATTGCAGAAAAGCTATGAAAATATTTAGTTTCCACTAAACAAAGTCTTTCAAAGTGGGAAGCAGTGTCTTTCTCAGAGGTGGAACTAACACAAGGTTTTGCACAGGTACTTTCTTCTTCGAAAGGCAGTGTATCTTTCTGGAACCTGATTTTCAAAGTTTTACCGGATGCAAAATCTGGCAGATTTGACCTAATGCCTATCAAATATGCATAAGGAGTGGTTTTATAATATAAAACTTTTGCCTTGTATGTTAGGGCTTTCCAGAGCTCTATTTTTATAATTCTAACCTTTTTTCTCTGTTTGGACCTTGGATTAATTGGATTATGTTGGCTTTTCATCATGATAGACAGGTGCAAAGTTTGAAAAAGCTGGTTTCATCTTCGTCCTCTGTGTGAATGGACAAGAGTCCATCTTCTCTTCCTACTTTTTCCATCAAAAAAGTCTTTCTATATTGATTAATTTTGAAATTAATTTGTACCTGTTAATGAAAGGAATAGTTGGAGATTTTGGAGATCAAGGCACTTGACTTCAAAAGTTACGTTCTACTACTTCTATTACATTTAATAGCCTCACAACAAATAAGTAAGGGTATGGAACGTGACGTACCTCAAGTCTTCAATTCCCATTGCCCCCTTCACAGTGGTCTCTATACCGTAATCAGATAGGCATTGTCAATAAATACTCTTTTGAAAGGATATGTAGTATTACAGGTAGATCCAGGTATTATTTATCGACTCAGATTATCTGAGTTGGAAAAAAAAATGTAATTTGGAAGGTCTAACACAGAAAGGCATATTTTTCTGCTACAATTGGCAGAAAGTGAACCATCCTCTGCTTAGGTGCATTGTAATATTTAAATGAAATAATTTCTTTAGAAAGGTAACAAAGCTTCACACACGCTTTGGTCTCTTCTAGTCAACATCAGTAGTCACATTTCCTGTACTACTTCTTTCTGTTGAATACTTCTGAAGACAAGTAGATGTCCATATTCTGAGCATGTTTTGTTCACTTAATTAGAGTCATGTTTGTTCACTTTCTGAAGTTGACTACTCCAAGAAAGTACAGAAAATAGTAATTCTTAGAAAACTATGTCCTAGGAACTTCTTCTCAGATATATTTTTTACCTTGGTTGTGTGGTGGCAGCTGTTGTCAGAGAAATTTCATTTTGGTAAACTCAGTTCTTTGTGTTAACTTGTGCTTTGCCACTGTTCAGCTGCAAGTGGGTTGGTTTTGTGTATAGTCAGGTAGTTCAAAGCTAGCCAATTACTTGGGTTCTAAACCTTTCCTAGAACATCAAATCAAATTCTTTTTGTTCTTAAAGATTGAGACCTGCTACTGAATTAATTTTCAGGTTTCAATCTCACATGATTTTCTAAAAACTCCAAATATATGTGAGTTTTTTCCCTATATACTTTACCTCTGAGGTTCCATTTTACCTAACTCTTTGGAATCTTACTGTGGATTCTGTGAATTAGGAAGAAGTGAAGCTGTAACAACTTTATTTCCAATAACTGAATCAGTTAGGGGGCATTTGGATGCCTGCTTGTGGGCCCTTCTTTTTTAGTATGTTCCAAGCCCATAGCAGCAGAGACACACATCCCAAGAGTGTGAATCTGCCGGAGCAAAACTCTCAAAACTACAGTTCTAGGTAAGTAATTTTTTTCTCTACCTTTTAAGTTCTTATCCAGCTCCTCTCCCTTTCTCCCCATGACCCATCTCCCCCAAAAAGTGCCCAAAGAAGCAGCTAGTAGGAGAACATTAATAATAATTTATCATTTGTTTAGGTCTGATTTTGTGTAACGAAATAATGAAATGTCAGAATCTGTAATTGTAGCCAGTATATGAGCATTCATTTCCGAAATTATTGTATAGGGTTGTATTTCCTTAAAAATGGAGTTACAAGAGTAGTCATTTGTATAGTGATCTTGCAATTGACAACAGACACTAATATTGGAAGGTGAATGAGATGGTGTAAAATATAAATTATTGAGTCTCTACATAACAGGAGAATGGGCCTGTGAATTTGTGTATACAAGCTTTCATTACATCTGCATTTCATAGTGTGACATAATGAATGAAACTGGCACCTCATATACCTTTCCCAGGAAAAGAAGCTTGGCAGTCACTAGTTCCTGTAGATGAAAGGGTTTTTCGGGTGTGTGTTCAGACATGTTTGAAGAAAAACAAGGGAAAGAAATTCCTTTTATAACTAGAGAAATTGTAGTGAAGTAGAGCACTGTTTCCATCTATCTAGGAAAAAATACTTTATTTTAATTTTTTTAGAAATAATTAGATACTGATTGATGGAAGAACGTGGTGGGTTTTGCTGGGGTTTTGTTTGTTTGGTTTTTAAATAAAATAGAGGTGTACAAATTCCCCTTTTTGTCCCAGGTGGTGCTTTACATAGAGTAGTGCAGAAACCGGCTCTTGTAAGCAGGTGTAGAATATAACTAAAACCAGTTATTTGGGAAGAAGTCTAATCTGTAGCATAAACTAAGAGAATTAAATGACTTGCAGGTAGTATATGCCCTTGATTGTACCTGCTAGATGGATGGGATTACTTCCAGTATTACTTAACCAGTAAAGTCTTAATTTTCTTCTGAAATGGTCACTTCTTTATAGTGGATTTAAATCTTGATGAAGAAATGGCATGTAACATTATAAATATTATTAAGAGTTTAAGCCCAGCATTTCTGTATTTTGTAGTCATTAAGTTCTCTCTGACACCAGCTTTTTTTTTCATTATCCTGCAGTATAAATGCTACTGGATTTAGCTAATTGAAGATATTTTGTGTGTAAAGTATGTTCTCAGAATAAAATCAGCATCTGGAAGGGAGATTTCTAAGGCATTGCATATTTCTAAAGTTTGCTGTTTATACACATAATTAAAAACTAATCTGATATGTTGATCTGTAAGTGATACGTAAAGTAAGTAGTGGTAATTAAGTCTGCCGTTAGTGTGTTCAATTTTTCTTGTGAAATTAGGTGCTGCATTGTGTATTTAAAAGTAATTATACTTCTGGTTTTGCTCAGATATTTTAATAACTGAGTTTACAAATCTATAATTCTTCACAAATAATCAGAATTTGTTCTGACACAAATGCTGGGATTTATCTATCTCATAAATAAGTTAAAATCAAATTGTTTGTCAAAACAATATTAAATTCAGGGAGGTTAAGTTACAGCTTCTAAACACTGCTTGTGTTACTAGACATTCTTAAGTAGAAAAAATCATAAGATCATATTTAATTCTCTAGTTACGCTGATTACATTATTGTTACATTAGAACAAAAAAACTTTGCCAAAATGAAAATTCTGGAGTCTGCTACACCCTAAGGCATGTCAGAGGCTTCTGTAGTCTTTTTGTATTTTGCTCTGAATGAGTGCGGATGTTTCTCCTGTTGGGCTTTCCTTTTTGCACAGTGACAGTGCTGATGGGAAGCATTCTTTTTGCTTGTTCAGTTCTTTGTTTATTGCAGTATGTCCCTGGTGGGAGGTTGGGTGAGAGCAAGCTGTCATGATCAGTAATGCTCAATGTTTATGAAGGAGTAGAAAGATAAGAATGGTTATTTACCCTCATTCCATTGAGACATTATCCATCAGTACTATTAAAGAATTTTAAACCTTCCTTGTACCCAGATTAAATTGGTTGCTTCAGGTTCAGGGCAAAGGTGGACAGCTGTGAAGAAATCAGTGAAAAATAACTAAAAAAAGAAAATTGTCATCAGTAAAAATAGATTTTTTATTTAGATGTATAGTTATGTGTTACCTGTTGACAATTTCTAATCTTGACTATTAGCTTAAATAAGATAAGCATGTAATTGGCCTCTGGCTGATTTGTCTCTCTGACATTGTTAAAAAAATGGAAGAATTGACATTAACTTTTTAGGATTGGTATATATGGTTTAAATGTATTCATTGCTAATTTAATTAATACAATTAAGTGGTATTTTAAATTAGTGGAGGCATATACCAGTAATCTCTGAAGAACGTTAGAAATTTAAAATATAAAACCTCTAATTGTTATGCTTTAAGAAAAGAAATTTTGTATTAGAGTCATCAAAATAGTTCATATACAATTCAGCATTACAGTGTAAATCTGCCTTGTGGTTCTGTACATACACTTTTAACCACCTTGGATATGAAGTGTCTAATTAAATCCTTTACAAGTTGTAAATGGGAAAGCGATGATTTATCTGTTCTGTCTTCGTAATCATTCAAGATCATTTGGAAATCTCTGAAATCTAGAGTTTACTGAGCAGTAGATGTTGCCATTCTGCTAAAATGAATCTTAGTAATCATGCATATGGTTATTATTTAGACATGTTATCTTTTCACAGATATGTACAAAAAGGCCATTTTAGTTTGCTAGGACAAGCAGTTCTGGAAGTTTTTAGGCTGTCATCCTAATTTACTCATTGGCTGAAAGAGTTTAATCTGGGATTTAGTGTCAGAATGAGGGGCAAAGGGTACAAGTTGGAACATAGGAAGTTCCATTTAAATATGAGGAAAAACTTCTTTACAGTGAGCATGATAGAGCACTGGAACAGGCTGCCCAGAGAGGTTGTGGAATCTTTCTCTGGAGATATTAAAAATCTGCCCGGATGCAGTTCTGTATTAAGTGCTCTAGGTGAATCTACTTCAGTGGAAGTGTTGGACTAGATCAGCTCTAGAGGTCCCTTCCAACTCTAGCAATTCTGTGTTTTAAGGCAATCATCAAGTTTGCAAGAAAGCAGTAACATGAGAGACTTAATCACTAATGGTGCTGTCACTGCTGATTTGAGAAGTCTTCAGGTTAAATGGAAGAATGCAGATACGTCTTTAATACAGAGCTCCCTTCATCCAGCTGCTGTCCCTAACACTTGCTAAGCTTTGAAGCACATCCACTTTCAGGGTGGTTATTCTTCAGATAACTATTGACATGCAGTTTCAGCAGAAATATATTTGAAGGTGTCTGATTATTCCAGTGAATTTTTTTTGCACAAAGTTTCCTCAGTAATTAGTTAATTTCTAAATCTGAAAGTACTCATCATTTTGACATACAGATATTTCCAAAGATGAAGGCCACAAGCTGTCTCCAGGAATACTATTCATAAAAGGACAAGTGAGAGATAACAGCTTCAAAATCCAGCTAATCTTTTTTTCCATTTCAAACTTGTGGTTTCTTCAATTTTTAATTTCTTATACCACAGTAACCCATTTAATTTGAGAGAACATCTCTGCTATTTTTTTCAAATAAGGTACCTTGTGATCTTTCTTTGAGTACCAATGTGCTGCCTTTTGGTGAACGTGTTGCAACATAAAAAAAAAAAATCCATGCAGATTTCTCAAGCCAAAAGGATGTATACACATGACACTAACTGGGATCACGCTGTGCTCTGATCTGTCATAATTTTTTTTCAAGGGATTGAACAAATGTGAATATCTTTTGCTTCTATCTACATTGTTGGGGGAGGAGGAGTGAAAATGGTTTCTGAAAAGAAAATCTGAAAAAAAAAATGTGAATATCTGATCTCTCATATAGTCAGAAAGCTCTTCTACTGTTACTACATACTCATTTTATTATGAAAACTGTTACAAAGAGTGAAGCAGAAATATACTAAACTCACTTAATGGGTCTAAAGAACCTGTGTGTTCAGAACTGTGGAAAGCTTCGAACCTAGTTCAGCATTTTTTTTTTCTAGTCTGATATTTTGGCAAAGCCCTAGATCTTGATAATACAAAGACATCATACTGTCTGTGGAATGAGCTGGATAAAGCTTACATACTGATGCCTTGAAGGATCCGAAGTATATTGTGAAATGTATTGATGGATATTGTGGAAGTTCCTGAGTTTACCTGTTCGTCAAAACCCAAAGGGGTCTTAGAACTCATGCATTAACAAAGTAAAGGTGTGCAAACTTGCATGAAATTGATTGTAAAAGAGAAGATATGAAGACATCTGTTTTCAGAGGGTAATTACTCTCTTCTCACCTCTCTAATTCTCTTTTGATTGTTCTCATGTATTTCAAAGTGAGTTCAAGATTTTATAAAGCCCTTGAAGCCCATTTCTGTATTTCGGCATTCAGACTTCCGCAGCTATCATGGCAACCTAAAACATTTTTTTCCTCATTCAATGGAGCTCTTTCATTATGATCTGAGAAGACAGTGGTACTATGTGCTCATCCTACCTTTTATGTCCTACTTCAACTTGATATTTTCATATACTTGGGCCAGCTTTTTTTGTCCTAGATCCAGAAATCTCATAGAGGCAATACAGTCATGGTCAAGTCTAGTTCTGAGGATCGCCATCAAAATACACTGGAAATATGAAGAAACCTGTGAGTAATCTGTAACTCTGTCTGCAATTACCTTGCCGTTTGGGAAAATAAAAGGAAAAGAAAACTTTGAAGATGTCCCTAAGTTATAATAGCTTACTACAATGTCAGTGTTCAGTTGTCAAGAGAAATTAAGAAGGTGCATCAGAAGAGCTCTGTTTTTTGAGGGAATATATATGCCAAGTTGTGATACAATCATCTACTTAAATGTTCTCAACTTACAATTTGACATTTTGGATGAAGAGCAGCATTTTAAGCCTGGTCATTTACAGAAGTTCAAGAGAGAAAACTGGTTCTACTTGAATTGTTTTGGTTGTTTAATCTCGGAGCCTTCAGCATAAGGGCTCTGAAAGGTGAGTTTTGATCCAGCTACAGCTGTTTAAGGCGTCACAGCTTCTGGCCATCTGCCTTGCTTCTATAGTATGAATAGCAGGGGGACACAGTTGCTTGGCTCTTAACTGACTCATTTAGCCTGGTAGGTTAATGCAAACCATTTTCACTTGTTCCTTAAGGTGATGCATTGGACAATGAAATGCCCTTCTAGAAATAAGAAGGTGTGTTCCCTTCTGCTACAGGTGATAACCTCAGTTAAAGGACTAGGGCAGGGAACTGATAACAGTAATGTCTTAAAGCTTATTGTTAGATCTACTGTCAGAGCTTTACATGACTTTTTCAGTGTGGCTGACATTTCTGGGTTAAAATGAGAAAATTGACTGACTTTTTGCTAAGAACACAAGTTTCTAAATTTGTGTTTCAAAAGTTAAAGAGTTTCAATTGAGAAATAAGGTAACAATATGTATGGAAGTTGGCAGAAGTTCCTACAGCTTTTTGTTGAACTTGGAAAAGTTTCTTATTTGCAGTTGACCAGTTTCTTCTTGGAGTTGCATTTGTCTTTACCATCTTCCAGCCATGAAATGTTGTACATGATTTTGAGTTTTAGGAAGTTAGAGATGCACAAATATATTTGAGAATTAAAATTACAGGGAAAAAAAGCTTATTCTTATCACTGGAATTGACTGTATTACTTCTTGTTACTGTGTTCTAATGTTAATTTTGGGGATGACCCTTCAAAGTTTTAATTCTTCTAAATAGGATTCTTCTACAAATGTAGAATAAATTAGAAATCATGTGTTACAATTCTGGTTTACAGTTTGAGTGGGTGGCGTGTTGCTTTTTTTTCCTTGGAGTTTATTTCACTATTCTTTGATTGCATCCCCCTTACCATTCATTCTTCTGCTCCCAAAAAGAGCTGGCTCATTGCAGCTGGTGATAATCCAGGCACAAAATAAGTTTTTTTTCTTATATTGCATTTGTGGTCTACATGTTTTGACAATGTATCTCTTCAACAGAATTTCCAGCCTATGCTTAGTCTTTCTTCAAGTAAAGACTTGCAGTAATAGTCACTGTTTACAGAGAAAGTAATTGTTTCTTTGACAAATTACTCAGTGATAGTTGAAAAGTGAGACTATAAGCCTTAGTACAGATAGGGCTTTTAGGTTTTTATAGCAGAAATGACTTTTAGTTTAGAGTGCCATGTTGGTAATATAACTAGGTTGTAGTTTAAATGACTAGAACATACTTTTTTGGATACTTGCATGTGCTTCTCATTTCTGTGAATTGTTGGCTCACTTTATTTTTCTGTATTATACTTGATGATTTTTGAATATAAACTGAAAGGCTTGTTGCAGAGTCAGGCTCCTGATACTACATAAAATTGTCATTGAGCTTTTTCTTTCATCCATGAAAAGCGTTACAATTTCAAAGGGAAAATACTCAAGCTTTAAAGTTTGTAGTAGCCCACCAACTAGTACGTATGTGTTACAGTATAAACTCCAGCTCTTGCTACACTGGTTTGCTTCAAAGAGAAGCATGGATTGTTGGAGTTATTTTAATTAGATTTGGTTTTTGCTCATGTGTTCCCTGGCTAAAATATCTGTGAAGTCCAGCTGATACACTGAACCAAGTAGAAAGAACCTCTGTCATAATCTCATGATAATTGCAGATCCTTGCTTAGATCATGTGTAATGAAGCAGGTTGAATCTGCAGTAGAAAATTAGTATTATTCCTCAAACAGTAGCTGTGAAGGCACACTTTAACTTCATCTTTGCAGACTTTTACTTCAAGCGTAATCTATTAGTTTGGGAATTTATTTATTTATTTATTGCTTTTATGTATTGCACCTTCTGTATTAGAAGATTCTCTTGGGAATCATAGAGGGACTTGGATTTTGCATGTTTTGAGGCTTGGGTTTTTTAGTTATTAATTGGCACCTGTGGTACACTGGCAATAAATGATAGTCTGAATACATTAAAAATTACTAGCTAAGGAAGTTCTGTTCTTGCTTTTAAATTAAATGGATTTTGTTCTCTGTGCACATACATGCTGAAGAGGATTAATGAGTGGAAGTGGAGGGGAGTGGACATTCTTGCTTGGACATTTACCAGTCTATATATATATAATTGGTGATTTTTCTTTTTCACTTGCAGATAAGCCTCTGAAGAAGCGAAAACAAGAAAACAAGCCACAGGAGGCTGGAGGTGCTACTGGAGGAAATAGAGCAGCTTCTCAGGAGACAGGTTCTACAGGAAATGCAGCAAGGCCAGCATTGATGGTTAGTATTGATCTGCAGCAAGCAGGAAGAGCAGACTCTCAGGCAGCAGTAACTCAGGATTTGGACACCATCAAAAAACCTGAAGAAATTAAGCAGTATCATGACGGGTTTATGTGTGTTTCCCAAGAAGACCCTGTTGGAGTTCTTAAATTTAAACCCGAAAACCATCCTGAGATGTTTAGGAAAAAGTCAGACTTTGAGGGTCAAAAGATGGATATCCAGCAAAATGAAAACAGGCAAATGGAATTTCAGCAAAATGAGAGCAGAAGGTTGGAAAGTAAACACAACGAGAACAAACAGTTAGAAGCTAAACATGAAAGCAGACAAATGGAAATGAGACAAAATGAAAGCAGACAGACAGAATCAAAACAAAATGAGAGCCGGCATATGGAGATGAGGCAAAATGAGGGAAAACAAAATAATGGCAAGCAGGAAATAAGGCAGAGGCCTGAAACACCAAAACAGAAGGGTGAAGGCAGGCCTGAAACACCAAAACAGAAGAGTGAAGGGAGACCCGAAACACCGAAACAGAAGAGTGAAGGAAGGCCTGAGACACCAAAACAGAAGAGTGAAGGAAGGCCGGAAACACCAAAACACAGACATGATAATAGGAGAGACTCAAATAAACCACTGACAGATAAGAAAATCGAAATAACTAGGCATAAACTAGATATGAAATCTGATCCTTCAAGGGTGAAACCTGAAAGTAGATCTGATCCAACAAAACAAAGGCCTGATGGGCGTCCAGTTTCTGATACACTGAGGCGTGATCATGATAGCCTTAAACAAAGATCTGAGGACAGGCCAGAGTCAGAGAGATTCAGAGGAGATCCATCCAAGATTAGAAGGCCTGAATATTTGAGATCTTCAAACAAAAATGAACATGATACTAAACATGGTATTAAATCTGATGGTTCAAAACCTGAGAAATTTGAAAGGAAACATAGGCATGAGTCTGGTGAATCAAGGGAAAGGTTTTCTTCTGGGGATCAGAAATCAAGACCTGACAGCCCTCGTATTAAACAGGAAGGCAGAGGAGATTCTAGTAAATCAAGACTTGATAAACCTGGTTTTAAATCACCCAACAGCAAGGATGAACGAAGGACAGATGGTAATAAGAGTAAAGTAGATAGCAATAAAGCACATGCTGACAGTAAAGCAGAATTTCCCAGTTATTTGTTGGGGGCAAGATCTGGTGCATTGAAACATTTTGTTATTCCAAAAATCAAGCGTGATAAAGATGGCAATGTTACTCAGGAGTCAAGGAAAACTGAATTTAGAGGTGAACAGAAGGACAAAGCAGAGAAGATTGGGCTAGTTGAAGATCTAAATAAAGGAGCTAAGCCTGTAGTTGTCCTTCAAAAGCTTTCATTGGATGATGTGCAGAAATTTATTAAGGATAGAGAAGATAAATCAAGGGGCTCTTGTTGTAAACCTAACAAGAACAAGTCATCCAAATCTAATAAAGGTAAGATTAATTTTTTAATATTAATTACATTATTTCTTTTACACTCCTGTTCTTTCAGATTTGCTTCTTCTGTGGTTAGAAATTAATGCAGGCATTTGCTAATTATATTTGTTAGTTTGTATGATTGCCTTCAATGGTGCTTTTGGGGAAAAAAAGTGAAACTTGCCTTTGGGCTTGTCTTACTGGAAATCTTGCTACAATGTACCTGAAGTGATTTATTTACTCCAGTGCAGGTACCTAATGTGGGAACACTTAAATGTTCTTAAACTGTTCTTCAGCTAGTTTACCCTGGTATATTATCCAGTGAAAAGTAACTGCTGCATGCATGATTTGAACTGGTTCATCTGTATAAGGGACTAGTACTACTGTAACTAAGTCAGTGGAGCTTGAGTGGTAGGAAATGCTATGCATACAAGCTTTAAGGTTTTTTTACATTTTTAATTTTAAATCAAATGGTTTTCCAAGGTATATTTTGACATGATGTGGTAAGAACACAGTTACAAAATCCCATCTACCTCTTTTGCACTATAACTTAAAAGTCTGTTGGGGAGCCTCCACACTTGCTGCTGTGTGATAGTAAGCTTAGAAAAAAAGATCTGTGCTTAGGAGAATTCAGACATCTTTGTCTCTAGAGTCCATTGTATGTAGAAAGAGGAAAGGAACTGGTAAACAATTGGCTGGATTTTCACAATAGTAATATGGATAGGAAATAAGTCAGAATAGTTTGTGGGTTTCTTACTTGATTGATTGACTTTTCTGTGGATATAACATGTTTTTAACAAGATCGTTTTTCTTCTTGGTACTCTAATTTTGACTTCTTTGGGTTTAGACTGAAGTAGATAATTTCATGTTGTAAAATCAGTTGGGGTGTTGTAAACTGGTCGGGGTTCCTTTTTTATGTTTTATTCTCATCAAGTTGACATGTCTTGAAGTAGACAAATGAAGTGGCAGGTGAATTTCAGCTCTATGCTACGTGGTTTATTTATGAATGCAGTTCCCAGTATATAATGAATTTGAGTTTAAAATGTTTTTCATAGCTGATCTGACAAGAACTGGAGTAGAAATCATCCTTGCGAGTATGTAACTATGTTTGCGTGCACATGTACAGAGGTGATATCTCTGTAATGAGTTTATTATGCTATGTCTGATCTCTGTCTACTAGTCTGTTTGTATTAACTCTTAAAGACTTAATAATTCAGGATGTTTATTACTTATTTGTAAAATATTAGCCTCCTAATTAAAGTAGTTTCTCTTTATCCTGGAAATAGGAACATTTCCCCTGTCTGTTTTTGGGGTTTAGACCAGAATAAATTGCCATTTCTAATAATAGGTATCTAGAGTTAGACCTAACATTTTTACATCTTTGACATCAGTTCAGTCTAAAGATTTCAGATGAAACCTTTATGTTCTTGACAGGGAATACTGAAAACTTTCTCATGGAACTCAGCTGTAGTGTTTTGAATTTCACAATTCTGTGTGTGGCAAATTAGTAATTTTATATGCTTTCTAAAATCTGTATGAAGTAGTAGTCTATATTGTATGTGGTTATTTGTATAGAATGTTTTAGCAGTGTGTAAAGGTTTTAGTGACTCTTGTCTGATTGGTGTGACTCTAGTAGTTGTGTCACTCATGTACAACATTGATTTTAAAGCCAGGTTTATAACTTCTCCAATGTTTTGTATATTTTTTGTTTTCTGAAGTCTTATTTCGTACATGCTTTCAAATAACTTGATACTTATTTTCCAGGGGAAGAAGGTGTTTCAGTCTGGTATCAGTCTTTTTGCTGTTGTATTCAGAATAAGGTTCTTGCAACTATACTAGAAGTAGGTTTTGTGGAAAGAATAATTTAACTATGTTTCTCTTACGAATAAAGTTTTGAACGTTTAGCCAGGTAGACATTGTAGAAATTGTCTTTGAACTAAATTTTTTTTTAAATATGTGTGTTTAGTTCTACAATTTTTTTTGCCCAACTTCCTGATAACTAGCTTCTTTGGATATATTCTGCTAAATAACTAGGTGAACTCCAATGTTTTAAGTTGTTCATAATTTGTAAAGGTATCTCGTCATAACCTGAAGTCTTACTTGTCAAGAACTGACTGATACAGAAAATATTAAGGACATTGCCTTGTTCCAGTTGAAAGAAGTAGTGTTTACTCTTTTACTCTGTGCCATTTTTATTATAAACATTTTCATACGCTGGGAAAAGGACTTTTCATTAATACTCTATATTTAGTTCATCCTGTATTTCCTAATAGATTGTAGCAAATCTTTTCTAGTGTTGCCTTTTAGCATTTTTCCACTTCTTACATCCCTCTTATTCCATGTAGCGTAGTATATTTTGCAAATCTTTCCTTATTTTACTTCCTTATATTTCTTGTCCTTTGTTTTTGCTTTCTTTTCCATCCTTCCACCAAGAAAATGTCTTCTGGCTTTGTCACGTGCAACGTCATTGCTGTGATTTATCTGAAATCCAGTTTAAAATAGGACTATTTCATCTAGGTCAAAACACAATTTAGGTAGTCATTCTGTTATAACAGACTAATGCTCATTCATCACGAAACTCAGTAACATTGACTTTTTAAAGGTAAAGTTAAAGCTTTGCTAACTGGAAGTCTGTACAGCTTTCTGCATTGTTTGAGTAAATTTTAAAATCATATTTGTGTTGTGCACGTGGTGAAGGCTTGCATTGTACTGTCAAAAGACAAACAGTTTAATCAAATGTTATAGGCATGTTTGAAGTTTTGTTGTTATATGAATAGGAGGGATAGCCATAGTACAGGACTATTAATATCAAATAATACTGACAGTCCCCTTTGGCATTTACAAGGAAGAAGCAAGTCTTTCCCTCCTTCCTGATCTTTGAGTGTGTTTTCTTTGAATTTTTGTTAAGGAGCCTTAAGGTGAAATTTTGTGACCTGTTTTGTCCAGGTCAAAGTTAATAGTAACATGTTTTTCTTCTGGTTTTAATATATATTGATGCTTTTTTCCTGGTTTTAATGCAATTCTATGCTATTGAGGGATCCAAGAAACTTTTCCCTTTGAGTTTGTGCCTGCAATGAAAAGGTCATGTTTGCTATCCTTTCTTTTCAGAGCTTCAGTGAATACCTTCTCTGCTGCTTCTTAGAGCTATACCGATCAGCTGTGTTGGGATGGGAGCTGTTAACAATTTCAATTACTGCATTCTGAACAAGACAGATTTGCCTTTGTTGAAGTATGAAACAGATATGAGTAATGAGAGAAACTGTAATTGTCTGTGTAAGGAGATGTCTGAGTTGGTTTATAATATGTTTGAAGAATTGCCTGTCTGAAATAAGGATCATACATGTAATGCAAATTATAGTTCTAGGACACACAAATGCATGTTTTCTAAGACTTCTGCTGAAACACCTTTTGGGCCTTCCAGTATCACCTAAAAGGAGTTTATTGTTGAGGGAAAAAATTAAATAATTAAAAATCTGATCTGAAGGCTACTCCTTCATTGTGTAGATTTGCAGGATTGAATTACCTGTACAAAACAGAACTTAAAACATGTTTTTGTTGCTCACTACAAGACTTCCTAAATGTACTGTGTTCTCTGCTGCTATTATCTCAGATTTGAGGGAAGATTTGCCATTTCTTCAAAGGTGCTCTTCACACATATTCTTACAGGATCAACTACAAAATGTACTGCTTAATCTTGTTCATGTTGTAGATTTACAACAATACTTCTAGATTTTTCTGTGTTCCATGCTTGTGTGGTTTGTTGGAGTTTATTTTGTTGTTTTGTTTTGGTTTGTTCTTTTAAATTCCAGGTGACTTTTTCAGAGCCTGTAGTACCTACGATTTGTCATTTGTGTAACATGATGATGATCCATCTTTGAGTTCTAGCACTGCTGGAGATAGTTTAATTTGTCAAGCAAAGGCATCAGTTAGGTGCTCATCTTCTAGGTAGAAGTGCCAGAAAAGGGAATATTCCTGGATAGACATTCGTAAACACTTAAGAAAGATAGCTTATGGGTATTTACACATCAGGGAGATTTTAGAGTTCACTGAAATTTATTTCCAAAATAACAGTCTCTTGATGCTGAAACATACATTGATGTACTCACTGAAATCAGTGGGACAAGCAGCTGTACTACAAGGAAATAACTGGAGTAAAAATGCATTTCCTTTGGAAAGGAAAATGCTGCAACTCAACTTGCTTCCTATAGACTGTGCCTTTGAAAAGATTAGCTTTGTGAAAATTGGTAATTCAACAAAGCTGAAACTTGAAATCGCTCTTTGAGTTCCTCGTAGCAACTGCATTTACATTTGGGAAGGCCAGAGGAATAATCCACTAAGCCTCTTGCATGTCCATGCACTGCCAGGTGGATCAATCGTGTCAAAGCTCTCTCTGAAGTTCTACAGAAAATTATGCCACACTTCAGGGGAAAAAAAAAGATATATTCATGATTTACAGGAAGAAGTTTACAGTGATTCTTCTCAGATGAAATCTTTAAAGTTTCCCTTAAATGCTAAATTTAACTGGAGTTTTAGAAAGAAACCCATTGCTTTAAGAAGAATTCTACAGTCTTCCTGTTTTTCCTCTTTTGTCAGATATTAGTGACTAGTTCTTTTCAACTTAACAAAACTAGAAGAGGATCTGGCTGCCCCTTATGGCCTTATAAGTGTAAAAATATATGTTGGGTTTGTAGAGGTTCCATTTTAATATACAATTTGTCCATGTAGCCCTGATTAGGATTGAACATGTTTCTCAGTTTGAAAAATATTTCAGGCATTGTTCAGTCAAAAACCAAAACCAAACTATATATAACCATTTCTGCTTCTGGGGATTTTTTATGTATGGTGAGTCTATTCAAGAAAGTTTGTTGGGATTTATGCGGGTATTGTACATACTCTCTGGGAACTTCTAGTTTTTCAGAAGTAAATGTTTGATAAACTGATGGTGGTAGCAGGAATTCAGTTGATGCATACTGGAATTCTTTCTTGTGTTAATCTGTTACTAGTACAACAGGAGCCAT